CCGGGTAAACATTTAATAAACGACCCCTAAGACCGTAGACATCTTGCTTTTGTTTAACGTTAATTTACAGTATCTTTTTTGAAGCATTCATTGAAACATACATGATCTTTATTGTTTGTGTGATTAAAGAAGGTTAAGTTTGCATACGAAAGAGCTGTTTGACAGTTACTGAATGATTTGGTATGAGATGATTAAGTAGTCAAAATGATTAAGAAACTCTTATGATATAATGCAAAATGAAATATGGTTGTTTGGTAATTGTTCAAAATGAAATTAGGGCCCTGAATGGTTTAGGGAGGCCTAAGATACAAAATCATTCAGAGAGTTTTAGAACCATTAAAAGACAAACTTTTTTTTTTGCCAAACATTATTAACTTCTTAACGACTCAAAGGCTGACTCTTAATGGAATGATTAAAAGGTAAAGAAACAACCCCAAAGTATCATAAACTCATTTAGACAATATTGAACCAAAAGATCACCAATATTGAAATCACGGTTTTTATCGTTGATGATATAATAAATAAGTTTGCAGTATTAAAAGATACCCAAAAGTAAAAAATCTAAAATTTAGTGAGACATTGTACAACATTTGCTTTTGGGGATATAACTATGCACCAAAAACGTGGATGAATTTGCCATTAAGAAAAGCTAATCAATAAAAAAGTGGCCTTCTTCTATATATGGTATAACGAGGGAGCTTGTAAAATAACTTTATATAAGAGTAAATTACCAAAAACGTCCCTGTGGTCCGGGGAAACTTTGGTTTTTGTCATTCGGGTTCAATGATACAACAATAAGGCAATAACTCTATGGCATGCATTTCGTTATGGTTTTCGTCTATGGCTCTAATGCCGTTAGTTGTTCTCGTTAAGTGTCTTCACATGCTAATCATGTATGTATAACTTGTTAAAGCATTAAAAAAAAGAAAAATAACCTTTCTCCTCAATTATCCTTACCCACCTATTATCCCCACCTCCAACTTCTTTCAAGTGCACAACTGCACCAACGAGTTACCTCCTTTGGCATCTTATCTTATTCTTCGGCGACTTCCCTCCTTATCTGGCTCCTCCCCCATCTTCCGCTTCCATTGCAACCGATATGATCTCCAACTTTATGAGTCTGTTGGAGTTTTGTTTGATCTGAAACACAAAGTTAATGAATGTTCAGGTGGTACTTAATTGGGACTTGAGTTAAGTATATTTCATGGTGGGGGCTTAAGGCCAAAGACAATGGAAACGACTCTTATTTGGGTCGAATATGCCAAAATATAGACAACCAAATATTAACATTGTTCCTCTTTGGTTTTTAAATCCAATGTTAGATTTCCATATCGACTAGACTTTGATCATTTCTCCTCAGTCTATGTTGGAACCTCCTTTCTTTGCTCATGGGCTCTTTTGGAGGATAATTTGATGGAATTCATATATTTACACATGATATCAGAGCCTAGGTCTACCACTATAGGGACTCGACACTTTAGGCCAAAATGTACTCGTCTAGCCGTTCTCGACACTTTGAAACAATTGTGCCCGTGCAGCCTCCATTGGAAGGGACTTGTTAGAGTGCCACAACAGTTAGATTAAGACCATTTTTCCTCAATATATGTTGAATCACCATCCTATCTTCAAGGGCTCTTTTGGAGAAGAATTTTGTTTTGTCGTTCAGTAGTAGCGATGATGGTGATGGAGCTTAAACAATCAATGAACGACGGTGGTGCTCCGACGATAGAGTTGCATGCGATGTGAAAGGGGGCGGAGGGGGTCCGACGAAGAAGAGTAAGATGTTAAGTAGGGTGGGTTTTGGTTTCTATTTTCCGTTGTCTTTAAATACTTTAAGACGTACATATGCTTAATGATTGCTCCTAATGTTCTTAACGGCCAAGGATGGAAACCATAATCAAATGCAAATCATAGGATTGTTGATGTAATTATTGAACTCGTAGGACAAAAACTAGAGTTTCCCAAACCACAAGGATGATTTTCGTAATTTACTCTTTATATATATGATATAAAAATGTCTAATTTTATTCCAAATTGCCACAATAATACATTGCTTCAATTGATTATGCACCAATGATTGATGCTACTTCAATTCTAATTAAGGTTTGAAATTATCTGTATCAGTTCAAGGAGTTGGATCATACACTAAAACAAATTTAGCATTTTAGGACGGCTATCATCATCTATTTATATTATATTATAAAGTATTTGACAAAAACTCTTAAAAATTATTTTTTATGTATAAAATAATGTTTATTGATGCATATTAATTAAAATTCAATATCACAGGTAAATTGTGCGTAAGTACAACTTTTCAAAGCTTCATTTTTAAATTTGTATAACCAACTATATATAAACATAATTAAATACGGGATAGACATTTCATTTTGAATATAAAAAATCTAAAATATAATTAGGGTAATCATTAGTTATAACAAAATACTTAATTATTATCTTTATAAAAATATATATTATTAAAAGATAAATAAATTATTTTGTTATTAAATCGAAATTAAATTATAAATAAAATATTGAATTAAAGAAATAATTGCACAAAAAACCAGAATTTTAAATAATGAATTTGATACCATTATTGATATATATTTTTTTCAAATTTTTTATGATATCTTTGAATTTATATTTTATTCAAAAATAAATACATTATCATTTTCTCAAAACCACTAAAAACAGTATTATATCGATGAAGATAAATAATAAAACAAAATATTAAAATAAAAATATATCTCGCTATATTATGTGAGCACCCTTCTAGTACTATATTATAAAACATTTGACAAAAATCTTAAAAATCATTCTTTATGCAGGAAGTACTGTTTATTGATGCACATTACTTAAAATTCAAGATCACAAGTAAATTATGCGTAAGTACAACTTATTAAAGCTTCATTTTTGAATTTTTATAACAAACTATAGATAAACATAATCAAATACGAAATAGACATTTAATTTTGAATATAAAAAATCTAAAATATAATTAGAATAATCATTAGTTATAATAAAATACTTAATTATTATCTTTATAGAAATTATATTATTAAATGATAAATAAATTACTTCGTTATTAAATCTAAATTAAATTATAAATAAAATATTGAATTAAAGAGATTACACAAAACCCAGAATTTTAAATAGTAAACTTGATACTATTATTAATATATAATTTTTAAATTTTTTATGATATATTTAAATTTATATTTTATTCGAAATAAAAACATTATCGCTTTCTTAAAACCACTAAAAACCGTATTATATCTACAATAGATAAATAATAAAAACAAAAGAATAAAATTGAGATATATATAGCTATATATATGCGAGCACCCTTCTAGTTAAAATAGAGTATTTAATGAGATTTTTAAATTTATATGATTAGCACATGCACGTCTTATACAACGTGTTTACAATATGTCATTAAGACGAAATTGAAAAATCTATTTAGACTCGAGAAGTAACTCGGTTTTGTAAAACGTTTTATATAACTTTTTTCTTCTATAAACTGTTATACAGAAGCATCTTGAAAACTAAGTTTTATTGTAATGGATGTTTGAAAATCTTATTAGACTAACTTTGACCTTGTTTGACTATTAAATAATGTTTGGTTCAAGTAGAAGAATGAGAACGAAAATGAAAATGACAGGTAATGAATTTTCATTTTTCCAGTTTAAGTTGTAATAAAAAAATAAGTTCATTATATTATATAAAATAAAATAAAACAGAAAAAATGATACTACAGAGGTATGCAACTTTTAATATACCATATACCAATCAAGTTTGCATACTTAGTACGGTACTACGAATCGACAACAATCAGTACCAATGAAGTTGATACCACTTTAATTGGTATGATCCATACACATATGAGTTCGTTTAGTTTGGAATAAAATTGTTACCGCAACAAAGGACCATACTTCTTTAATCCTTTTCATTTATTCATTTTTGGTATTTTAATATTAATATAGAAAAAATGTATTAAGATATAACAAATTTGAGCTTTTACAATCAGTAGAAATCATCAATAAAGACCTAATAATACAATATTTGGTCTCTTCATTGTAAAAATCCTCGATTAAGTACTAATCTTGCATATGTGAAAAATTTCAATGATTAAAATCAATCTAATTACGTAAATGATTTATGTTCACTAAAATTTAATGGTGTTACCGATATTAAAACCAACAATTCGAACAAAACATAAATCATTTCTTTTAATAAAATGTATCATCGTTATTTAATTTAGCTTTAGTCAATACTTTAATAATGGTGATGGTGGTGGATGACGATCGACATGGAAGAAAATATGAAAAAGAACGATTTAAATCTAAAGCCCTTGAGATACAAGAAACCGTTTTTTAATTTGTATAATAACTCGATATAGTAAGTAAATTGAAATTGACGGAGATAGAATGAATGTGTCACCACAACTGATTGAAGTTTGCATATGACACATAAATGGATCGATAATGCCACAAAGCAAATAATCCCAATATCTATAATAATCACTTGATTCAATTTTGTTATACTAAGAGCAACTCCAATTGAACGGCAAAACCCTAGTTTTGCCGTTCTTTTGGATCCAATCGCACGCCAAATACACCAAAGTTTTGCCGGATGAAGGAAATGAACGGCAAATTTGCCAAAAGGTTGGAGTTGGGTTTTTTTTTTGGTGTTTATGTGCCCACCATATTTAATGTTTTTGGTGTGAAGGTTAAAGTTGCTCTAAATCCAACATTATCAATGATTTTGGTTTCCATTGTTAATTACTCCAACCAAGTATTTGAATTTTACCAATGGTCAACAATACCATTTAGAATTAAACATAGAAAGTTAGGGTTGTTTTCATTTTAAAGTAAATTCCAAAATTAAAACGAAAAAGAAATTCAGAATAAGACGGAAGGAGAGTGAATTCTGAAATGATGGAATTGAGAGGTAAACATGGATTCACTGCCCATAGTCTATGCACATCTTTAAAAGGATCTTTTACAACTGAAAATAACAGAGGAGCTGAAAAATGCTCTGCACATCTCCTTCTTCTCTTCTTCACCATTTTCCCAATATCAAACCCTGACTGCTCCTTCTCCCTCCTTTTCCATCCAATCAACAAGAAAACCCCAATTCAGTTTTCAATAGACCAAAGCATTATCAAAATCTTTGTGGGTTTCTTCTCATAGGGAATCAAGAGCACAAGAAACGATCCAGATCTGCAAAAGAACAAGAGTTGGGGGTGTTTGATGAGGTAAAAGATTCTTGCTTTATATCTTTATTGGATTGAGAGCAACAAGTGTTTGATAACTCTTGAATAAATACAGCTTTAATCAATTGTCGGCATTGGGTGAATGAGATGAAAGAGGAAGTTGAGATTTTGGAGGAAAGACAAGAATGACAAGTGGGTCATTGGGTCTAAGATCATCGAGCTATGGTTCTTTATTGCAGCATCAACAACAGTTTCAAAATGGAGGAGTGTTCTTATTACAGCAAAAACCCAATCAGTCAACACCACCAATTGCTTCTAGAAAAACTTCAAAGATGTTTGTTAATAAAGAGAAGGAGAATATGCTTATGTGGATCTTCAAATTTGCACACCGAAAGAAGGTTGGAATGCTGTTCTTGTGTCTTGTTTCCATAGCAGCTATGTTATGGGTACTCTATGTTGGCAAAGGTTTGGTTCTCATTCTCCTGAAATCAATCAATTTATTACTTAATTTTGTATGATTTACCTCAATTTCATTCCAAGCATCCATTACCAACTCCTTTTTCCTTTCATACCTAGATTTAGCTCAACTTGGGTTCTTGTATTTTGTTTGATTTGATATCTCTTTAGTTTCTGTGTCGGCAGTTTTAACTCATTTTGTATCTTTTTAGCTCAATTTACTTTCTTGATTTGTTCTAATGATTCATTGTTATCGATTGTAACTAAATCTTGATTGATTTGGAGCTTAATTCAGCTTTATATGTTTGTAACTTCACTGCATTTTGTACAATCTTCAGACCAATTCACTTAATTTCGGTTGATTTGGAGGTCAATTCAGTTTCTGGGTCCTTCTTCATCATGAGGCATTTTGTACAGTTTTAGCTGAATTTAATTTGTCTGTCTGTACTAATAGTTCATTTTTTTATGAACTTAGGAGCTGGTGGTTATCTGTTTAACTCATGTATGGATAATTCTGTCATTGTGGATTAATATGTTGTATAGATTGGAAAGGTTTTTGTCTGGAGGGTTTTTACATAGTTGGAAGGGGCAGGTTTGGAAAAAACTTTTGCATAAAGCTCCCCCTGAAAGCTTAATGAATAAGCCAATTTCTGTTTGGTTAAGCCACTACCAAACAATCATGTATAGATGACCGAATAAACTCCGAGTCCCATTAAGTTCATGAAGCTGCTAACAGACAGGCACTTACATATTGATTGATTTTGAACTCATTCAAGTTTCTGGGTCTTTAACTTGCTGGCATTTTGTACAGTTTAAGCTTGATAAATGTTCTTGGACTTCAGCCACAACTTGATTTTTAATGATATATATATATATATATATATATATATATATATATATATAGGGTTGGGTTCACGTGAG